TTTTTTAGAAGATGAGATTTTGTAAGCTAGTTAGCGCCAAGGCTTTCTATCAAAAATGTATTTCTTTTTTACTTTAATAAATCTTTTTGAAACTGAAGTTTTGACTGCAATCCTAAGCCATCTTAAAGATTAGAAGGCTATCCCTACTCACCACACATACGTTTCTGCTGGTTATGGTACTCTGCTGTATTTTGGTGGAATTACTTTAACTGAGGGTTACTTTTGAGCCTAACAGCTTAGATTCCCAACCAAACTGCATGAATATTACAGGTTAGATGAACCCCTGACAAGACTGTTTTCAGGCAAGGGGAAGGGGAGGACCTCTCATGCTGGCGAGAGTTGTTAGTGAAAGGCAACTCTCACGTGCTTTTTCTCCTTCCCCCATCATACGGTGGGGATGGGACAAGGTAGGGCGCCAAAATACAGCAGAGTCCATCACCATCAGATGGGAGAAAGGGCGGCAAGTGCAGGTGGCCCTTCCACTCCACTTTGGGAGGAATGTCGGCAGAGCCTGCCGAGCATCCTTTGATGAAGCTCGGCAGTCCCCATTCAGGCCCAGCCGAAAGCAGCAAAATGGGGCTATTTTAGCCCCAGGTGAAGAGGTCCCTACAGTCTATTTGGACCTTAAATCCTCAAATAAGTATTTGCAATCAATATAATGGCATGCAATGAAATTTTGCAGATTTAGTTTTTTCCTTCTTTGTGAAAAAAATATGCTTCTGATAAAATATTAATACAGTAGACAGCTTTGGTGTCATAACTCCATGGCACTCTCTTTAGCTATCCAGACATTGAATCAATGTACTGTTTGAAACCTGCGTACAAAGTGTTGATGTAGTATTTCAAGCTTAGACTATAACTCTGGAGACCAGAGTTTGAATCTCTGCTCAGTAATGAAACCTACTGGGTTGATCTTGGGTAAGTCACACTTTCTCAGCCTCAGAGGAACTCAAAGGAATGCAAACCTCTTCTGAATAAAAGTTGCCAAGAAAACTTAGTGAAAGAGTCACTTTATAGTTCCCAGAAAATGCCTTGAATGCCCACAATAGTGTGCCCCACCCCCAATGCATTTGCCCTTTAACAGCTCATTTGAAGCCTAAGTAATATAAGTAAGTGTAATAAAGGTCTTTGGACCAAGTCTGACTTGGCCACGGTAGTCCACGCTCTGGTTACATCCCGTCTTGACTACTGCAACGCTCTCTACGTGGGGTTGCCTTTGAAGACAGCCCGGAAGCTCCAATTAGTCCAACGGGCGGCAGCCATGATGCTAACAGGAGCGGGGCGCAGGGAGCATACAACTCCTCTGCTGCACCAGCTCCACTGGCTGCCGATCTGCTACCGGGCTCAATTCAAAGTGCTGGCGTTGGCCTTTAAAGCCCTAAACGGTTCTGGCCCAACTTACCTATCCGAACGTATCTCAACCTATCAGCCCACCAGGACCCTAAGATCTTCTGGGGAGGCCCTGTTCTCTATCCCGCCGGCTTCACAAGTGCGGCTGGCGGGAACGAGAGACAGGGCCTTTTCTGTGGTGGCCCCTCGGCTTTGGAACACCCTCCCCATAGAGGTAAGGTCAGCCCCCTCGCTGATGGTGTTTCGGAAAAGATTGAAGACATGGATGTTTAAACAAGCATTCGGTTAATCCGTTGCAACGAATTATGATGACTAAAGGACTGGTAATCATGGACGATGAATTTGGATTGCGACTCCAGTTACGAGATGCATTGGATGGTTATTGGTGGCCCAATAATTTGTATTGTATATGTGTTTTATGCTTTTAAACTGAATATTGTTGTTTTTTAAGTGTTGTAAACCGCAATGAGTCGCCGATTTAGGCTGAGATATTAGCGGTATACAAGCGCATTAATAAATAAATAAATAATAGATGCATATCTGCTTTGAGTCTCCTATAATAATAATAATAATGATAATAATAATGATAATAATAATACATTCTAATATTAATAATAGCTACATATCTACTTTGAGTCTCCTATAATAGTCATAATAGTAATAATAATGATACATTCTAATATTAATAATAGATACATAGCTGCTTTGAGTCTTCTATAATAATAATAATAATAACAACAATAACAATAATAATAATACATTCTAATATTAATAATAGATGCATAGCTGCTTTGAGTCTTTTATAATAATAATAATAATAATAATAATAATAATAATAATGGTACATTCTAATATTAATAATAGATACATAGCTGCTTTGAGTCTCCTATAATAATAATAATAATAATACATTCTAATATTAATAATAGATATATAGCTGCTTTGAGTCTCTTATAATAATAATAATAATAATAATGGTACATTCTAATATTAATAATAGATACATAGTTGCTTTGAGTCTTCTATAATAATAGTAATAATAATAATAATTGTACATTCTAATATTAATAATAGATACATAGATGCTTTGAGTCTTCTATGATAATAATAATAATAATAATGGTACATTCTAATACTAATAATAGATACATAGCTGCGTTGAGTCTCTTATAATAATAATAATCAGTCTAATATTAATAATAGATACATAGCTGCTTTGAGTCTCCTATAATAATAATAATAATAATAATAATAATAATAATAATAATAATAATGGTACATTCTAATATTAATAATAGATACATGTCTGCTTTGAGTCTTCTATAATAATAGTAATAATACAGTCTAATATTAATAATAGATGCATATCTGCTTTGAGTCTCCTATAATAATAATAATAATAATAATAATAATAATAATACATTCTAATATTAATAATAGATACATATCTGTTTTGAGTCTCCTATAATAATAATAATAATAAT